GTGCTGTAGAGGCGCAAATATTTCGAGCTCCACAACAGGCGCAATTCTTTTGTGCTCCAGGGAAGCACAATTATTTTGAGCTCTACAGAGGGCACGAGGCGCAATTCTTTTGCGCTCCAGGGCGCAATTACTTGTGCTCTATGGGGGAGCAATTATTTTGCACTCTATGTGGCACAATTATTTTGTGCTCTAGCAATTCTTTTGTGCTCCAGGGAAGCACAATTATTTTGAGCTCTACAGAGGGCACGAGGCACAATTCTTTTGCGCTCCAGGGCGCAATTACTTGTGCTCTATGGGGGAGCAATTATTTTGCACTCTATGGGGCGCAATTATTTTGTGCTCTAGCAATTCTTTTGTGCTCCAGGGAAGCACAATTATTTTGAGCTCTACAGAGGGCACGAGGCGTAATTCTTTTGCGCTCCAGGGCGCAATTACTTGTGCTCTATGGGGGAGCAATTATTTTGCACTCTATGGGGCACAATTATTTTGTGCTCTAGAGGTGCAATTATTTCAAGCTCCATGAGAGGCGCAATTCTTTTGCGCTGCATGGGGGCGCAATTATTCTGAGCTCTACAGGGGGTGCAATTATCTCGAGCTCCACGAGGGGCGAAATTATTTGCATTCCATGGGGGGTGCAATTATTTCGAGTTCCATGAGGGATGTACACTCCACAGGGGGCACAATTCTTTCAAGTGCCACTGTATGTACCTTGTGCTGTTGACAGGGTCACAAATAGCCTGTGTCCAGCATTGTGTAGTGAATACAAATGTGAGTGGGCACCAAGACACTGCCAGTGTCAGATTGTCATGCCCATTGGTGCTTCAGGTGGGCACCATAACTGTCAATACCGAGTGTGTATCTGCGCCCATTATATTCCAATGTGTATCTGTGCCCATTATTTTGTGCACCAATTTTGCCATGTGGATTTCCACCAAACATGAGTGGGCGCCAAGTGTGTATTTGCGCCTATTATTTTTCTTCATGAAATGTCAGAGTGCGCCCAATGTGAATACACATGAAATATCGGAGTGTGCCCAATGTGAATGCACACGAAATGTCAGAGTGTGCCCAATGTGAATGTGCACCAAATGAAATATGAGCCCAATGTGAAGGTGTGCCAAATGTGAGTGGGTGCCAAGTTAGTATATACCTGCAACAAGTGTGCATCTGCACTTGTTGTTTTTCAGTATGTATTTGGAGAGCGCCCAATGGGAATGTGCACCAAATGTCAGAGTGCTGCGCCCATCAGAGTGCGCCCATCAGAGTGCGCCCATCAGAATGTGCCCATCAGAGTGCGCTCAATCTGTTCTATTCTGACTTTCTAAGGTGTCCAGACATGGGTAGGTGATGATACCTCTCATGCTCTCTCCTATTTCGCATTTTTCTCTGCCATCCCATTCTCCTCCCATTTCCAAAACATTTTATGGTCCTATCCTGACTTTCTAAGGTGTCCAGACATGGGTAGGTGATGATACTCCCCATGCTCTCTCATATTTCGCATTTTTTACTGCCTTCCCATTCTCCCCCACCCTCCAGGTCACTCCCAAATCACATTGGTGCCTCCCAATGCCCCATATTTCACTCTCTTGGATGGTACAGGATATAGGCTGGGCTCTGGGCTCCAGAAGTACACTTCCTGGTTTAATCTACAGGAATTGAAGATGGAATTCCTGGAATGGTGGATGGATTTCATGAATTTTCGGGATGGATTCCATAGATTTGCAAGATGGCTCTCAGCCAGTAACCTACAGCTACTTTTATCCAATATATAGTTATCTTTCTCTGTAACTTTTGGCTGAGCCTTAAGAAACGAAGAAGAGCACTGCAAAGCTCTGGACAATAATCAACGCAACATGCTTGACAGAAAAATCACACTTGTGAGAGTGTGACAGCCTAGACAAAACAGCTGAGTATTGAATTCGGTTGGCCACAAACAACCGTTGCTCTAAAAAATGGTATCAGTAGATGCTGAATTGCGTCTAAATTATGATTCCAGCTTGTTTGGGCATCCAAGCTTCTTCCCCCATGTTTTGTAGCATGAACTTGTAGAATTATCGGAATGTTGC